TGTGAGAAAAAATAGCTGTGCTAATACTGCTTGCAAACAGCATGATAACCACTTCTTTGTTCCCACCAAAGATACAACAGCAGAATCCTGTAAGAGAAGTCATCTGATATGTCAGCTCATCAAATTAGTCAGAATGGGTGAATGGGGAAGAGGAATATATCATTGTAAATGTATGTTAATTAACAAATGCTATAAGAAAGGCATTTCAATGTATTAAAATGAATATTAATGAGATGAAAACACCCAATTATTGTGCATCTAATGGTATTATCCAGAGCATCCAACAGAAAATGCCTAATTGTCATGCATCTAAGGCAACGGTGCAAACCTTCAGACACAAAGATTCAGTGTACATATAGATCATATTATCACTTTAATTACAGATGTTGCAAAATATCTGCACAGAAACTTGTATTTTGAAGGATTTTTTAAGTTTTATCAAAAAATTCTAGATTTCACCAATTCCTTTTATCACTTGCACTTCAAAATGGCATGCTCCTTCTTAGTGCTTCTGAAACATTACACAAAGCACTTCCACATTCCTGCATGCACATCTCCACTTTGCAAGTACATCATCACAAATGTTGGGCTACAAAGCAGCCTGTAATGAAGTTCTGAGGAATCTTACATGAACTTGCATGAAACAACATTCAGTCTGCATGAAATTCCTTCCAATGCAGAGGGCTGCCAAAGGAGAATCCCGAGTTAAAAATAGTATGGATTTCTGGAATTAAGGACTGCTTCATAATACACATGCATTAGGAAGCGGAAATAAAGTTGTACAGGCCACTTGAATTTTATTATTTCCTAGTTACCCAGTGGTTGGTTTTATAACTTTAATGTTCTTTTACTGTAAGTTTTTCAGGATGTTTTGCTTTTTTCCAAATGTAATTGCAGATAGAGAGCCAATCTCTTGACCCCAGCTAGAAGGACAGGGAAAGTTTTGCTTTGTAGAGAAATTCCAGTGTCCCAGCTATCCACATATTCCCTGAGTCTCTAGGGTGTATGCCATGGACACATTCAGAGAAAGATGTATTTCAACAACTGCTCTCTACATGGCATTTGCAGTCCCAACAAGACTAATGTCATTCACACATACAATCAATGAAGTCTTAATCCTACTGTCGAAGCAATTAATGAAAATACAGCACCTTAAGTTATTATCAGAGCCAGAATTGATTCCAGAAAGACAGCTCTCCTCTCTCAAAATTGAGTTATTAATATATATAAGCACCAATGTGACAAGCACTTTAGCTATACCTTGATATATATATACTGTCATTCAAAATGCATTGCAATTCATCATATTTTATAAAAATTGTATCTTATCCACACTTTTAATTTTCTTATGAGATTGTTATATGGAACTGTAAGAAAAATGTTCATGAAATGGAGACACACTTATTCTTGCAGATTTACCTTAGCCACTAAGCTTTTTATCCTCTCAAAGAAAGAAATTAAGTTAGTTTGTATGATTTACTTTTAATAAGTCCATGCTGCCATCTATTTACCACCCCTATTGCCATAGTTGCTTCCAAACTGATTGCTTTACTAATAACTCCAACAGTGTGCTTGGTACTGAATCAAAGGTAAATGCACTGGTTTGAAATCACCAGATTTCCTCCTGTTCCAATTTGCAGGTAACTGCTGTTCACCTCAACAACTGAAGTAACAGCAGCAGTATATTTTGCATTACCGCATATGTAAAGGTTCTCAGAGGGACTTCCCAACCACATACATACAAACTATCAAAGACCTCTGCCACAGAAATTAGCAGAGGGCAGAACCAATCTGTCAGCAGTATTTTGCACTGCCTGGGATACAGCTGGAATTTCTAACAGAAAAAGAGAGTTTCCCAGAAGTTCTATATCGTTCAGTTAGGGTCACTACATGGAGTACAGTCATGGGTTAGTGTCATAGTTAAGCTGTATAGGGGAGTCACATTAGCATCTGATGTGTGGTATTAACTCAAGTTTTTGTCTATACTTTCCACCTGTGCAGATAACTTCAGTAAAGGGCACCAGTGTGCTTCAGTTAAGCCAGCTCCAGTTAAAAATACGAATAATAGTGTATTTGCTTGCAAACAGCTACACTTCTCATTATTTTTCTCTCATGTCTGCTTGAATCTATAGCAATAATTTGTATCAATATGGGGTGGCACACTTCTTACATGTGACTTCTTTGCAAACAACTAGAATTAATTCTACAGTGAGGGCAAGTCCTTCAAAAAAAGCAAGAGCAAGTCTTTGTGTTTACTGGACTGTAAAATCATATACCATATGGTACAGAGACAGCAGCCCCCAAAAGGATAAACAACAACACCAACTCTGCCAAAACTAACATTTTGGGTGCAGGGAAATTATCTATTTCAGACACAGTGCTGCATGGTGGTTAGCACCTTGACCTGAATGGAAGCCAGTCATAAGCCGTGGTAACCCAGATTTTACAGAAGACACTCAGTCCCTCATTACCAAAAAGAAAGCAGAAAAACATAACAACACATCCTTTGTAGAAAAATATCATGTAAAATCAATCTCATAAAAACAGAAATCGATTTGTAAATGCCCTATTAACACACACACACAAAAAATTAACCCTTTGCAGAAGGTTTACACAGTCAATATTAAACTACTGTGTAGAAGAGCTGAAGATACTGATAGCCAGTAATGCGAACGAGATTGTGGTTAATTGTTAACATCTCCTGGGCTACAGTTCTTACGTCCCTGCACGGATGATGAATAAAATTATTTACCTATTCAAGTAATGAGAACTGTGCATTTTGATATCCACATACACTGTAACTCAGACCTCCTCTGAGACCCCTACCTGTAATTAGGAACAGATGTTGGATCTTGTTCCTGAATTGATAAAAACAAATTTCAGCCCTCCTATGATATACGACTTGGTGGCACAGCTAATGGAAAGACTACCTCTGCAGAAGGATCCCCTTGCAGACACTGGACATAATCAGCTTCCTTCTGCACAAAAGCCCTACTATTCTAGATATTTCTTAGTGCTTGATTTGGGATACTCACTAAAGCATTCACAGGTAACCCAGCAAGTGCATAGCAAGAAAGTGACAAGCAGTGTATATATGGCTTCATCTCTGATGAAGAAAACCACAGATCTTACCATTCAAAACCATGGGAATTCTCTAACACATACAGACTTCTCCATGGTGGAGTCATTTAAAATTAAGTATACACAACATTATGTGCTTTCAGCAACAATTTTCACAGCTCAGCACATGCAGTGGGGGAACATTCTTCAAATAATTTCATGGGGGAAACTCAAGGTAACATTCAATATAACATACTTATTTTATTCTCCAAACATCACACTACTGAAGGAAAACATGTCCAACACAAACATTTAATGAACTGAAGGTAGTCACATTTCTCTCTTTTTATCAGCTGTCTGAAATAACCCAAGGGTTATTTCAGGGAATCGGTACCTGACCATTTTCTTGCTCTTGCTCATAGGTGCCAATACCAAAGCCCAGTGGAGAGGAATGAATGCTCTAAAGGGAATCTGCCATCTAATGATACTGCAGGCTGACCCTTCCCCAGTCAGATGCATCACTTGGACTCACTCATATGTGCTAGGCCCACTGGATACCCTGACAGCAACAGGAAGGCACTGGAGATCTATGGCAGGCCCAACCCATTCACAGCACTAAGCCTAAAGAGGTTCAGAGGAGCTGCTGTGATCATTTTCAACAAGACAAGTAAAGCTGCCTTCTCTCATGCTCCTTCCCTGACCACTAAATGCCCTACATTTGATTTACCCTGATCCAGCAGAGCTTATAATTCCCACTGGCTCCTACCATAAGTGACGAAAATTATGCCTTGTGAAAAGCCAAAAGAGCTGCAACCCCCTCAGGCCTGTAGAAGAGAGACAGAAATTTGTATTTACTGAGGTCATCTCAGTACAAGAAAGTTGCAGTGGTTTCATTTAAATCTGACTGAAACAATTCAAGTTAAACTGATGTGAATGCCTTCATACATCTTTATTTAAAGATGTTAAATGGGGGTTTACTTGATTTCAAACCTAATCCAAATCTAAAAGAAGCTACCAGATGAAATAAGACTGTCCATGTCACATCTTGCATTGGTTTAACTAAGCAGGTTTACCAGTAATCTTAGTGCAACTCCCTCATGTATACAAGGTCTGAAAATACATTCACTTTCTAGCTCTACCCTGCTTCATGCCAGGAGAATTTGCAGCTGGAATGGGCTCAGGGGAACCTCAATGCCTACAAATAAAAGAATTGTGTGGAGAGGGAGGGGAGAATCATAGCTTCTGTGCTCATGGGTCCTCTATGGACATTCCTAAATTAGGGTAATTAATATAGGGGAGTGTGTCTGTGCTCCTTAGTAGTCTATAAATGTTACAGGAAGTGGAATGTTTTATAAGTCCCCTGGTAGGTTTTAAATGTTAATAAATGATGTGCAAGGAGGCATTTTACATCTCTTCATTTAACAATGAGCTGACAGCTGCAATTATAGGCCAGTCTCTGACCCCAGCTATCCTTCCAGGAACCTGAGGAGTAAAGGGAGTAACTTTCTTCCAGAATAATAAACTGCATTGGGATGCTGGCTCAGCATTTCAACATCCAGACTCAGAACCAAGGTGAGACACCCTCAGAAACCTCTTTCGCTGCAGTATGCATTTCAGTCACTGGTACCTCGTTACCTTGCCACCAGAAACTCACTGCTGCTCCTCCTGTGGCGGCAAGAGCGCTTTGTCTTACAGGTAGAGTAGAGTGAATGGAGCAACCAGCCAGGCAATTACTTGCTCTATTGCTCCTCAGATGTGGACTAGAAAAAAGAACTGGCCTGTACCTGGCACATCCAGGACAGCAGAAGTAGACAGCGGTATCACTTTCACTCTGGTTTCAGCCAAAAATCACTGAATCACTGCAGCAACAAAAGGGAGCAAAGGGACTGCTCAGTAATGCATGCCACAGCAGAAACCCCAGTAGTTTTTAGTAAGCCCTAGTTACTACCCTTCCCTTCTGCTCTGACAAGTCTTCCCCAGTAGACCAGAGCCTCTGTAAAGTTAAAGGAAACTTGAAGCAGTATTTTAGTTAGGTATGTTTCAGGTTGCAACCTTCCTTGCAAAGTAACAGCAGAGGGCTTTGTGCCAAGGCCCTAAATCTGCTTGTAACGCTGTATGTCTGCATGCCTGTGTATTTTCACCTTCTCCTTTCTCTTATCTAAAAATAACCTTTGGTCTTGATCCCTACCTAAGCTGGCTGTGTTCACTGTTGTTAGTGTGGACATTCCTTAGTCCTGTTAACCACTGAGGTACTGCCTAAGGCAGGACACAGCTGTTTTGAGGCACTTTAGTCCATGCTGTATGCATTGTTTCACTCCACAGGAATTGCACCCCACTGATGACAAAAGGCAACTCAAGATACTGAACGAAACCAAGCAGAACTGTGAGTAACACCTTGCATTTTCACCACATCATCCTAAAGGTAGGGCAATGGGGCTTACAATTCTATTAAAATCCCACAAGGTAGTATTTTTGCCACTGACAAGCTCTTGCTTCCTTTTACTTTAAAAGGGCAGAACCCTACAGCTTAGTATAGCTGATTTATTAGAAAACCCACATTTTTATTACTTCCCACCTTTTTCTTTTTTTAACATGAAGGGCTGTAAAGCAGTTGATTTCTTTCCTCCTCCAGTATCTGGTGTTGTACAACACTGGTGACAAAAGGACATGTTCAACTATTAGAATTATAGTTTTCTTTCATTCTGTGGTTCCACAACTGCACCTCAGCAAAGCTTAAAAGAAATTTTAGGTGGTAAGAGCAAAGTTTTGTTTCAGATTTGCAACAGAATTAGGTTAACATTTTCACTGCATTCATGCTGCATCCACTACAGCCAAACACCATTTGACATCTTTCACTTACATATTCTTTCTGTTTCACACACAGATTTCTCAACTGTGTCTTAGAAATGGGTCTCATTTACCCCTGTTAAAGTCTAGGCCTTTAGTACAGAATTTCTGGAACTAAGTTACAGCTTTTCTTCAACTCCTGTCTGCATTTGGTTATGCATTTCTTCTGTTTTGCATTAACTCGTATATAAATGGTTATGACCATCCTTTCATTCTTCAGAACTTTACTGTTACTGATTATGGCCAGCTTTCCAGAGCTTTTGAACAACAGGGACCCCATGTTAATACACAGCTTGTCTTCGACATCATGTTCAACTCATTCTCAATGGCATATGTCAAACACATTCACACTGAGTCAAGTAATATTGCTGTGGCTACTTCAGCCATTATTTACAATGAAGCATGACAGTAGGTTATTGTATTTGTCTATCTTGCTAATATAATTGCCTGTTAATTAAATTTAGCTAATAAAATGGGAGTAGAAGCAGCACTACCATATGGCTAGTCGTATCTTCATGGAACAATAGATACAGGTACTGAAACTTGGCTTGAGAGCTGACAGCCACAAGTATGTGGTAAAAGACTTCTGACGGGAGACACCAGAGCTCAGGAATAGCGGGGTACCAGAAGCTGTGCCACCAGGAAGGACATCTGCCTGAACCTGGCACTCTCCAAAGCCAAAAACTACAGGTGCTGGAAGCTACCCCTTTGCAGGACCCCTCACTCAGCCCAACCTCTGAGAAGAGGCACTTACAGCCCCTGCTACTTTCATACCTCTAATTTGGGGGGGATGGAGGGGAGGGTCAAACAATATTGTGCACACCTCCTTGGAAAATTGCCAATGCTTGCAGCTAGGAGATGAGGCAGTATGGTAAGGAGTTCAAAAGAGAAAAGTAAGCAGTTCAAAAGAGAGAGCTAGATCTTCCTAGCCCCTTGTTACTGTGCAGACCCATCTAACCAGCTGCTGTTCTACTGTCAGCTACAGACAATATTCAAGACCAAATAACAGAGATTACACATCCCTTCTTCAGTTGCAATCTATTTTTTATGTTACAGCACTTCAGTGACATTCATAGGATACATCCTAAGTGTCCCACACCTGCACAATCAAATTAAAGTCATTCACCAATGGCTCATCTGCTGAAATGTCTAAACTGTACCTGTCTTGTAGCTGAAAGGATGGGGTTTTCCTACAGGGAAAGGCTGTTTGTCACAGACTTGACTGACTTGGCAATTCCTCTGTTTAGCAACATTCCACAGTTCTTTCACATTTACAAAATACAGTAGTAATACTTACCACCTTATGGGGTCCTGTGAGGCATAATTCATTAGTTCTTCTGAAGTGCTCAGAGATCCTCCAAAGAATGCAATCTGGAAAAAAAACTATCGTTAGTACATGTGGAGAATTTACTATATTTGTCTCCATTACACAAATAATGATGGTTTGGGGGTTTTGCTCTTGTATGTGTGTATGAGAGCAAAAATTCACCACATTTTGGTATATCTCAGTTGTACCAGGAATCACATTACTCTTACCAGTATTTATACTTTTATATTCTTTTCTCTAAGACAATATCCAAGAATTTCATTTAAAAATAGAAGCCTCTCTAGGCAATGTAAGTTTGTAGATTTGTCAAACCGATAAAAATTGTATGATCCCATGATATGAAAGACATAACAAGTGAATTTATATATTTACAAAGCAGTATCAGCACTAGACACCTACTGAAGATGATCTGAACTGTTGCTTGCCATAACTATTGGTCCATTGGCTACCAAGAGAACCCACAGCAACTAAGATCACTAGACACATAATTTACATACCTAATGAGGTATGTGGAGCCCCCAGATGCAACAGAAATTATAGATTCAAACCTACTCCAAAATACACATTATTTTCAGACAAGCTGAACGCCTCCACGAAAATGTATTCCCAAACTTTGCTCACCCTTGAAGGTGAGCCCATTTCAATTCAGGAGTGCTGAGCTGGATTTCCAAATCTGACAGGACACTCCAGTATGGCCCCAAGCCAAAACTAGGTAAGGGATTTTCTGGCATCAAAGCCACAGGTTGTGAGTCTGCATTACCTGGAAGCAGCTGCCACTCCTATCTGCAGCTTTGAAAAACTTAATCTCTCTCTGCCCTGGTAAAATGCGGGTAATGGTAATGTTTTTTCTCCTTTTCCTGCTTCTTATCTGCTTAGTCTGTGAATTCTTGTGGATTGTGTCTGTTTCTCCTGTCTATTGTAGAGGATGCTTAACACATTGGGCCACCCATCTTAGCACATCCAGGACTGAGAAAGAGCAAGCACAGCCAGGACACCTCAACTGTGGCAACTGTGTATCTACATTCTGCTCACACAGAGAAAGAAAAACAGTCCACTTCCATTCTCCAAACACACAACCTAAAGTGCTGGTCTTTGCTGAACAGGCTTGCAAGCTTAAAAAAATGCCCTGGGCCTCCATGTTTCTTGTCCTTCAGTAATATCAATACATATATTCTCTGTAAGGAAATTAGTGGGTGTGTGTGTGCATGTGTGTGTGTAATTAACCCCTACTGCTTCCCACTTTTTGCCAGAAACTTGACATAAACCAAGTTTTTAGCACAAGAATTTTGTTCTATTTTTTACTGCATGCTTTATGCATTTCTAGACCTCACCTAGATTAGAAGTGGATCAGCCAAAGCAAACACACATGTGCACACACACACAGAGTGCTAGGTGCATTTTTCGGAGAGAGAGAGTTTGCTTTCCCTGTCTTTCTGCATCTGTAAGCAGGAAGGCTTGAAAACCTTGCAAAAGAAAGTCTGTTCCCATGAGAATTCCTGCCTCGCTCTCTGCAGTTTCAAAAAGCAATCTCTGGCTTCTGTGCATGGGAATCCCAGTATTTTGGCATGGTTTTCATATCAGCATCATTAGAAACACTGATTTATTTTAATTGTCACCTTGTACCCTACACTGCCAAATGCAGTCAGAATGTCAATTCCTTATCAATGTGAGCTGTTGACATGGAAACAGATCTGCTGAAATGGAAGCAATAAGAAAAAATATGTTACTCCTCCAAGTTACACTTAGAAGTGGTAAATCTGTGTGTGCTACAACAGATTTAAATACTCAGTAAACTACACAGAAGAAATAAACAACTATCTGGGGTGACAGTCATTTTAGTTGTTTACATCATAGACTGCATTTAGAAAATCTCCAGTGTTACTATGGTAACTGCTTTTGCTTAAACGTAGTTGTGGACGCACTTTAGGTATGATCTAAATTAACCGAAGATGGAGGAACAAAACTGGAGAGCAACAGCTGGAGTAGTGACTGGCTGCCTCCTATCAGCCCATCCTATCTGCCGCATGCACTGGCATGGTACAGGCAGAATGCTGTGTAGCAGAGACACCTTGGCTCATTCCAGTCTACACTTTGAAAGAGAACCTGAAGCAGTCAGAAGCCTGCACCAGGTAGACTTTAAAGGTAACAGACACAAAGCTGCTCATCATGCCCACACACATCATAGTGCACATCAGTGTTGCTCATTTTCTCCCTCAGGTCTCCAGAAAAATTGGTGGGAAGAGGCTCAGGCTAGGAAAGGAGCCTGCAAGAGGTCCGCTCTGTACCTCTGGCAGAATTTATAGCTTTCCATTTTTGGGTCTCTCCCAGGGAAGAGAGCAGAGCTGCAGAAAGTCAAGTCTGTAGCACAAGCCTTACACCAAAAATCTGTGACTTGGAATGGACGCTGCCTCATGATTAGCTTCACACAGATAAGAAACAGTCCTAGAAGATGCAACGCAGACCTTTGACCGGCACTGCATTTCCACTAGAAAGATTAAATCTCTGTGCGGCTGAAACTTGTTTCATAGTCATAGGGAACAAGGCCAGAGGAGCCACTGTGATCTGCTGCTCTTAATAGGGATTAAAGGAACCTACCATCTCCCGTTCACCTGACTCTAACCTGAAAGCAAACGATGGAGATCACTGAGCAGAAAATGGAGGGAGAGGCTCCTCTGCCCTCTTGCCAGGTGGCAGGGCAAGGGGCAACAGAAGGAACAGACACATTTAAACCAACTTCTCTAAACAGGATCAGGGAGGCATGTGGAGCCAGAAACTGTTCAAAGCTTGTGGCTCCTGGCAGTACTGTGAGGCAGTCCAGTTCTGAACTCACCAGGGCAACCCAGCCTCCCCCCACTGCTTCAACTGTGATAAGACATCAAGGCATGCAGATTTTTTTCTGTTCTTCCCTCTTCCGCTTTTCACATTTCTGCATGATTACATTAGATAATGATACATACCTCCCAAAAGCTTGTGCATCAATTAACAAGGGAAGGAAAGACACACATGATTAATTACACACTGGCCTGTGAAACATGGACATGGGATATGGCATAATGTTCTAAAAATAGCAGGCAGGCTGCCTTGTTTAGGTCAAGTTTTATTCGAATTCCCATAACAAAGCATCTGATATTAAACAAGGAAGCGGAAGACACACCACTGTTTAGCCTCAATGGGTGTTCCAGACAGTTCTTAATCTGCACAGCAAAATGCAAAGCCAAGGAATGTAAGTTTATGTGAGCATGAGACAAAATAGCACTTTAAACTTATACAGCATTTATCAACCCAAAGGATCCCAAACTGCTCTACAAACCATATAGTAACTGAAATGTTTCCATCTGCATTGTTATCTTACTTGTCTTACTCCATCTGTATTGTTATCTTAGCATTTGTATTTTGGTGAGATTCAGGAGGTTTTGGGTTAGATGCTGGGCCAAATTGCAGATATTGCTTCATGTAGTCAGAGATGAAGAGCCAGTTTGCTGGCTGTCATGGCTGTTCACAGATGTGGTTGTACTGAGGAAATTCTGCTTTTCTCAAATAGGGATAAGGGAACAGAACTGGATGAGAAAAGGACCTGTACTGCATGTCTCAAGGTACAACTGTACCACATCAGCCTTTGCTAGTGAGCGGGATAGCATAATACTTCTAGATCATTAAGGCATGGATATTGGAAGCATACATACTTCTGGGACGAGCAAAGGCCTCTGTCTGAACCTGCATGAAGGCTAAGTAGAATAGAGGAATGAAGGACACAGAAAACCATCTTGCTGATACCTGATTTTCAAACAGGGCGCAGTAATTTGCAGATCATGCAGTAATGTTGCAGAACAGAGAAAAAAAAAACCCTCAGCTGCCCCCAGCATAAATCAAACGACTTTTTAACAAACAAAACCACCAACCTTCTTCTTCCTCCAGAGTGGATTGTGGCTTCCATAAAAATATAATGCAGAGGGACAAATGAAAAAAAAGATGTAATAATGTAATTATTAGTGCAAACTCATAGTCTTTTGAAACACACCCCATGGGAAACTTGGTTTCCAGGTAGAACAAAAAGGATCATCACTTTTGAAGCTTCATCTGAAAACATAAATGATGATTTTATCCTATATTGATGACAATAAAGGCAATAATCTTCTACATATACCTCCACGTTCAATGTTAGAAACCAAAGGTACTGTTTTCTAATGTCCGTAATACATCTGAGAAGCAGATGATTCCCTGAAAGCCACAGTCTTTTGATCCTATATAAATTGGATGCTTTTGAGAATGTCACCCAGAATTCTCATGTCAGTCCTAGGAAAACATAATCTAAACCAGAGGATAATTTTGATTTTCCTCCTGACTCAGCAGATGAGGAGATAATTAGATACGGAAAATGAGTGTTCTTGAGGGTAAATATACCTTCTGTAATCCTACTGCCAACTGAATTAAGGTTTGTCTGCCGCAGTAAGGCATGTGTAAACTCAGCTGGAGGAAAGCTAAGACCTGTCAGATTTCAGAAGTCACTGGTGGTCCTTCCTATGTTACACTTCAGTATTTTAGAGAAAAGAAACCAGTGAATAGAGGAGTGAGAGAAACAGGAGAGGAGTGAAAGAAACAGGAGAGAGGAAAGAAGGAAAAGTATTTCTTATCTCTGTCAGTGGTTATAAGCAACAGCAGTAAGAATCCAGCAACAGCACCAGAAACAGAAGCTGGCGGATTGCCTATTCTTCACATCAAATCCAAATGATTCCCTCTTACTGACTAGTAATGTGAAGCGGCTTATTTTTTCAAGTGCTCTTCAGCCTAACCATGACTTCCACCTCTGCAACTGGAAGAATCCCATATGTCAAGTAAGCAAGGACAGGCTATCCTCCTGCAGTGATAGCTCAACGCTGACTGGAAGTCTCATTTGTCAGAGGAAAGAACTGTTGGTTTTCTTTTTAAACTAACCCAGAGAAGAAAAAGGTATTTGTCCAGACCCAGGTGCTTTTTCATTCCTCCAGCAGCTGCTAGTTTGACAGAATTTTAAAAGGTTGCCCTTTATGAAATGAATTGGTAATCA